TGGGTCTTATTGGGCCCAAATCAAGGTGTCAGTGAGGCTGCATTCTTTCTGGAGGCTGTAGGAGAGAATTCCAGCTTCTAGAAGCTTCCTGCATTCCTTGGTTCATGGCCCCTTCCTCCACCTGCAAAGTCAGCCGTGTAGAGCTGAGTCCTTCCCATGCTGCCGTCTCTCTGTTTTTCGCTTCGGTCTCTCTCTTTTGTATTGAAGGATCCTCGTAACTATATTGGATGTCTTCACACTCATAATCTGGGATAATCCCCCTATTTTAAGGTCAGCTGATTAGCAACTTTAATTCCATCTGCAACCTTAATTCCACTTTGCCAGGTAACCTAATGTAGTCCCACTAATCACAGGATTAGGATGTAGATGCCTCTGTGGGGGTGGGGGGGCACTATTCTGCTGACTACACCTCCCCTACCTCCCTCACCAGGTCCTGCCCTTCCTCACAGTCCTCACCAGGCGGCTGCCCTTAGGTAGGGATGCAGGCGGGAGTGGGTGCTGCCCACATTTCTAGAAAGGAAACAACAGTCCTAACAGCACACCTTTGTGGAATGTTTTTGAATTTGTAAAGGGCTTTCACATACTTGGGGGTTAGTAGTCTCTGTTCTGCTCCACACCTGAGAACACTGTGATGAGAGAGGTTGGTGGTCGGCCCAAGGTCACTGGTCAGACATGAATATTGCTGGGCTCACCCCCAGGCCTGACCCTAGCTCCTCCCTCCAACCCCAACCCTCCCTGAACGATCTCCCCATCCCCAGACCATATTAATGATTTTCCAAGGCCACTCCAAGGGAGTCCTGTGGCCAATTTGCCCTTATTTTTGGCTGCTGGCCAAAAGTCATGGGGTCATACTTGAAAGACTTCCTCAAACCCTGCAAGTCATTGCTCTGGAGGTTTCTGCCTGATTTGGAAGCAGGACTCCGCTGCCAATGGAGCTATAACAGCTGGAGGGCTCCAGGGCAGCTGTTTGTTAGTGTGTTTCAAAAGCCTTAAAAATGTGCATCCCTTTTACCCATTGATGCCACATGAAGGAAACAGACAAAAACACAGAAGGGCGCATGCCAGCTTGTGTATCACAGCATTACACAGAACAGCAAAAAATCAAAGCCAACGTAGACCATCAGTGGGGTCTGGATGAAATAAAAGGATGGATCCAATGTTGTAGTCTCATACAGTGATTAAATATAACAATATATATATAAACAACAAGGTCCTACTGTGCAGCACAGGGAACTCTATTCAATAGCTTGCAATAACCTGTAATGAAAAAGAATATGAGGGAGGGAAAGGTATAGCTCAGTGGTAGAGTGAGTGCTTAGAATGCATGAGGTCCTGAGTTCAATCCCCAGTACCTCCATTAAAAAGAAATAAGCAAATAAACCTAATCACCTCCCCCCACAACACAAAACAAAAGACACGAAAAAAGAATATGAGAAAACACATGTATAGGTATAACTGAATCACTATGCAATATGCCAGAAACTAAGAGAATGCTGTAACTCCACTACAATAAAAACAACAACAACAATAATAATAATAATAATAAAAGACAATGTAGATCTCCATTTAGTGACGTGCTAAGATGGCCTTGAATAAGCATAGGTAAAGATGCTCCACTCCATGGTCGAGAAGGAAACAGATATTAAAGCCACGATGAGACCACACCTATTAGAAAAGCTAAAATTTAAAAGATTGATCATATCAAATATGTACAGTCACTGGGAATCACATATAGTGCTGGTGGGGGTGTAAAATGGTACAACTGTTTTAGAAAACAGTTTGGTAGTTTCTTAAAAAGTGAAACATACACTTATCATATGGGAGTCAGCCATTCCACCCTGAGGAATTTACCCAAGAGAGATAAGAAGTCCATGCAAAAACTCGTACGTAAATGTTTAAAGCAGCTTGATTTGTAATAGGCTGAATCTGGAAATAACACAAATGTTTACCAACAGGTGAATGCGAAACAAACTATGGTATACTACTCAGCAATGAAAAGAAATGAACTATCAGTCCACACAACATGAATGTATTTGAAAATAATTTTGCTAATTATTTAGAAGCCAGAAAAAAAGAGTACATACTGTATGATTCCATTTACATAAAATACTAGGAAATGCAAACTAATCTATGGTGACAAAATGCAGGATCAGTGTGTGTGTTGGGGTGGGGGCAGGAGGAATTACCAAGTAGCAGAAGGAAACTTCTGGTGGGTGATGGATGTGTTCATCAACTTGAATGTGGTGATGCAAGTCATGTGAACTTACACCGAAATTTATATTATACACTTTGATATGTGTAGTTTATTGCCTGTCAATTACTCAATAAAGCTGTTTTTTTAGAAAAGATGCCCTCCTTCCAGTTATAAGATTGATAAGTAGTAGGGATGTAATAACATACAACATAATAAATGTAATTAACACCATAACATTCCGTGTTCCGAACATGCTACATGCACGATGAATTTAACAAACGTTCATTTCTGAGTTGTGAGAACGTGGATTATCTAACTTTCAACCACCATATTAGGCATATTTAAATCGTATATCAGTTGCTTTCATTTCTGGGAACTTACCTAACGCCAGTTTCGAAAATCGATTCTAACTGGAGCGATTTCTAACTGAAACACATGTAATTTACAGTTTCTTTCTTCATGAAATTCTGAGTTCCGAACATGCTATATGCAACATGGTCGGCAAACATTCATTACTGAGTTGAGAGCATGTGGATAACCCAACTTTCATCCTCAATCGAAGGGATATTAACATCTAAATTTTAGTCTGATTTCTAAGGTTTTTCCTAACACCAGTTTCATAAACCGGGCATTTTTCACACAAAAATTCTATGTATGAATTCAATATGAAAGTTGTCAAGAGAGCAAATCCTAAGAGTTCTCATCACAAGGAAAAAAATTTTCTATTTCTTTGATTTTGTATGCATATCAGATGCTGAATGTTCACTAAACTTAGTGTGATAATCATTTCATGATATATGTAAGTCAAATCATTATGCTGTACACCTTAAACTTATACAGTGTTGTGTGTCAATTATTTCTCAATAAAACTGTAAGGGAAAAAAAGGTGCCCTCTTGATACATTGCTAAGTTAAAAAAAAAAAAAGGAAGAAGAAGGCAGGTTCCGACAATATATACAGTCTGATTTACTTTCTGGGGAAAAAAAGGCATTTGTGAGTGTAAATTTCCTGGGATCAGAGGTGAAGTAGACTTTTTTCTTTGTACTTTTCTGTATTTGCATAATGCTTTTTAATAACCACACGTTTGCATTTTGCAAGAGGAAAACCAAACAAGCGCCTAAGCAGGGCCTAGCAACATCTTCCCCACCCCCGCGCCCCCATCCCTCGGAGGCTCCGCCCCCTGCCCGGTCCTATCCAGCTGGAGGCGGGGAATTGACCCAGACTCAAGGGCTTCCGGAGAGCTGGTCCCTGTGCGCAGCGGCCCCCAGAGCAGTGACGAGAGCAGCCCTGCAGATGCTTCCCGGAAGGCCCGGGGGTCAGCCTAGACTACACCAGTAAATCACCCCAGGAAGAGGCCCGAGCATTTCCTCTGCAGAGGCAGGGCCAGGGAAGTGAGGAAATGCGCACAGGGTTTGGATGAGTCAGGGGACCCCACTCACACTTGAGTGGGGGGATTAAGTCAGTGGGAAATTTAAAAAGAGGAGGCAGTGCAGTCCAGCTCCCAAGAACCCAAAACTGGGACCTGGAAAACCAGCAGGACCTCCCTGAGTTCTCAGTAACAGGGACTCCCTGCTTCACTCTCTACTTCCCTGGGCATGTATCTACCCCTGATGCGGAGTTCACCTGCCAAGGAAGACTAGTCCTGAGCTCGTTTCTCAAGATAAAATTTGATTGGCCCGTCTTGGGTCACGTGGCACTCAGTCAACCCAGCCAATGGAGAGGGGTCAAGTATACTAAGATACCTTCTACGGGTTTGTCAGGGAAAGGGCAGGCATGGACTGGACCACACAGAGCAAGCAGCTGGAGTCAGGATGAAGAGGATGTCCTTTGACCATCACCAGAGTTGCAGTCTCACCATTACAACATTGACCCAATAACCATCACAATAAGCCACAGCAAAACCACACTTTCCACAGGCTGAGCAATTTCCACGCAGGAAGATGCTGGGTAGGAAGACACCAGTGCCTGCTACACATAGACCCTCGGAGACTCTTATCTAACCACTAGCATTTAATGTTAACAATAACACTGATCTAGCACCTTCTACAGGCCAGACACCCATTCTAAGCGCCTCACATATGTCCTCTCAAGTGACCCTTGTAACAACTCCAAGAGGTGGGTACTATTATCCCCATTTTACAGATGGGAAGACTAAGGCACAAAGAGATTCAGGAACTTGCCTTAGTTCACAGGGGCAGGATTCACACCTGGGTAGCCTGGCTCTGATGTCATGCACTTGCATGTGCCTGACACTTTTCCAGGCACTGGGATACAGACCAGAACACACATCCTACTAATGGGCCTGGAAGAGATAGACAATGACACATATCATGAGCTGTCACTGTTGTCCTAAGTGCTACAAGCTTGGTACTCGACGAGAATCTAGAAAGTCACCATCCTAACCTGAAGGGATCACAGAGGGTTTCCCTGCAGAACTGACATGGACGCGCTAAGTCCTACAGATTGACAAGGAGTCGGGGAGGCAAAGTGGTGAGGGCACAGTGTATGGCGGGAAGAGGTCCAGGTGAGAGGGAACCGCATGTACATCACGCCCTGCATTAGGTAAGTGCTTTGCTGGAAGTCACCCAAGGCAAAGGTGAGAAGACATGATAAGGACCTCGCCCTAGCCTCCAGATGCCTGGCCCTGCTCCCTGTGACCCTGCCCGACCCCCACGGGCAGTCACAGTCCAATGCCCGCAGCTATCAGAGGTGGTAGCAGGACAAACCCATGGACTTATTTGATCACGGTTTACTACCAAGTGGCCCAGAAGGACGCTAATCACTTCAGTGCCCAGTTTGTGGGAGTCATGATGATTCAGGGAAAAAGCCTCTCGCTAAATTCTAGAAGGGAATTCAGCCGACCCAGCTATCCATGCGTAGAGATGCTTGCTAATCAGAGGCCAGCTTCACCTCAGGAGCGCCCCCCACCCACCCCACCGTGGTCTATGCCCTGCAGCCAGGCCTCTTTGCAAGGTCTTATTGTGGACATTGCTGGTTTCCCTAAATGAGTTCAAGAGCAAACGCTGGAGTTTTTGAGAAGTGCTTCAGCCTCAGCATCTGATGATATTCTTGACAAGAATGATCAGTTTCTGGACTGTAACAGAGGCTGGGTCACACTTGAGGATCCGGCACTGCTCAGCAGGGCAAGACAGTGGTTTGGGCTCAAACTGACCAGCTGGAACTGACCCTCTCCTGCTCTCCAGGCAAAGCTGGTTTTGCCCTCCTGGAGGGAATGTTAAAAATGCTCTTGACCTTTGGCCCAAAGGATCTACTTCAGAAAATTACCCCCCTGAGATCCTCCACCAGCACACAGTGAGCATTTATAAGAACGCTCACTGCAGTGGCTTGAAATAGTTAAAAACTGCAGGCGTTCCAATCCTATCCTGATGGGACTGGCTACATTCAGTGTGGACACCCTCACTATGGACAACTGCAGTCCCAGAAGAGAATGTTCTAGCAAGGAGCAGCCTCTAAGAGTCACTTTTAGGGGAGGGTAGAGCTCAGTGGTAGAGTGCATGCTTACCATGCACAAGTTCCTGGGTTCAATCCCCAGTACTGCCATTAAAAAAAAAAGTCACTTTTAGATAAAACAAGATAAAAGTGACAAAACAATGAGTACTGGATTATTCTTTTTTTTTTTTAAGATACCATTACTATAAGCTTTGAAAAAACTACCTGAAGCATTTATACTACACTTAACAGAGGGAAAGGGCATCTCAGGGATGCCCTTCACTTTTTCAGCTTTCACTTTCTATAGCATAAAATTGTGCAATGCTTGGCTTTTTCAATGATAAGCATGTGTTACTTTTGCTTTGAGATCTTTCTTTTTTAACGTAAGCATTTACTCTTAGTACTGCTTTCGCTGCATCCCAGAAATGTTGGTATGTTGTGTTTTTGTTTTCATTCATTCTTAAGATATTTTCTTATTTCCCTGGTGATTTCTTCTTTGACCCATTGGTTGCTTAAGAATGTTGTTTAATTTCCACATACTTGTGAATTTCCAGTTTTCCTTTTGCCATTGATTTCTAGTTTCATTCCACTGAGGACCATGTGCTACATTTGAAATCAGCAATGACTTAAAAAGAAAGAGAAAGTCTGGATAGCACGGTGGTGAGGAGCTCAGGCCCAGGATTCAGACTGCCTGGATTTGAAGTCAGCTCCATCATTGTGACTCCGGGCATGATGTCATCTGTCTGTGTCTCAGTTTCCTCATCTGTGAAATGGGACATACCTCATGGGACTATGGTGAGGACTGAAAGAATTCCTATGTTGAAAACCTTAGGTCAGTGCCTGGGGCACATACTAAACGTTCAGGGAGTATCAGCTGTGATGATGGGGAGGAGGTGGGGGAGGAGGATGGGACAGTGGCACAGTTTGGGGGGTGCTTCCACTGAGCTTGATGTGGTGACCACAAGCATGTACCTTGGAGCTCTCTGCCTTCCAGGAGCAAAAGGGGCCCTAAATCCTGGTGTGCTGCTTACGCCGTGGAAGCGTTCGTGTCAGTAGTGTTCTGTGTTCATTTGTTTCTTTCTCTTTCCTTCAATACTCATTCACTGGCCTCTAGCTATGTGCCAGGTCCTGGGAGGGGATCAAACATAAACTCTTCTGTGAAATGGGGATAATGATTGTCTTAGTCCGCTCTGGCTGCTATAACAAAATACTACAGATTGGGTGGTTTAGAAACAACACAAATGTATTTCTCATGGTTCTAGAGGCTGGGAAGTCCAAGATCAAGGTAGATTTGTTGTCTGGTGAGGGCCTGTCTTCTTGCTGTGTCCTCACATGGTGGAAGGGACAAGGGAGCTCTCTGGGGGTCTCTTTTATAAGGGCACTAATCCTATTCATGAGGATCCCACCCTCGTGACCTAATCACCTCCAAAAGTCCCCACCACCAACACCATTACCCTGAAGGGTTAGGGTTTCAACATAAGAATTCTGGAGGCGGGGATAAAAACATTTGGTTTACAGCAATGCTAGAACCCCCTGCAGGCTGTTGGCTTTGAAGGAGATCTTAGGAGCACAGCGCTTAGCCTGGGGCAGGGGCCTCCAGGGCGAGATCAGTACACAGAAGCTGTTGTTTAGACAAAGAGAAGTGACAGCATCAGAGCATCAGGGCCTCTTTGAAAGCCACCCCCCACCTGCAGGAGAATGGTCAACACTGCTCTTCCTTGGGGCTATATCACTGGGGAGGTACCCACTGCATCACTGTGTGGATTTCCAATAAACCCTGCCAATAAAACCTGCCCGATTCACCCCCAGTGCTTACATCAGTGCATGGCACAAAATGGTCACTTAGTTTTTGATTTAGTCGAACAGGCACTATTCTACTCGTTCATTACTCATAACATCCCTGGGAAATAGGTAATGTATTTCCACTTTAGAGATCAGGAAACAGAGGCATAGAGGTTATATAACTTGTCCAAAGTTACACAGCCAAGAAGTGGCAGAGCTGGAATTTGAACCCTGGGAGGTATTTGTTGAAGGACGGAAGGAAGAAAGGAAAAGGTGAGGTGCAGGGTCTGGGGTCTACAGTTCTGAAACACAGAATCAGAGAGCAGGGCCCTTAGCAAGCATCCATCTCCATCCCACTCCCCTTTTGTTCTACAAGTGGGAAGTGAGGACTAAGGGCTGGGAGGATGGAGCCCCAAGGCCAAACAGGAGATTAAAATTTAGGCTTCCCAGTTCCCAGCCCAGCAATCCCAGGCAGTCAGGAGTTTGGGATGTATCAGAAAATCCCAAGTGTTAAATTCCTTCCTGTCACTGGAAAGAATTTTGTAATGAGTTGAGTAGAACGGACAGTTACAAAACACAGTGCGATGTTAACAGTTAACATCTGATGAGGGCTTTCCTTGTGCCAAGTAATTTACAAAGTCCTTTATGTACATTACTACTTTATTGAATCCTCAAAGGAATTTCAGGAGGTAGGTAAGGCCACTAAACCCATTCCGCAGCTGTAAAAACTGCAAGGCTCAGAAAAAAACGAAAGACAAAAAAACTGAGGCTCAGAGTCTCCAAGCGACTGGCTTCAGGTCAGAGAGCTAACAGGCAGAGGAGTCTGGGACTCATACCCTGGTCCCTGCTACAGCCCCTGGCCCCCACTCTTCCCCAGTACCTCACCACTAAATGGCATCACTAGTGATTTTCACATTTTAAAATATTAGCTGTTGCTGACAGTAACCCTGGGGACTGTGACTAAGAAATCAGAAAATAAGCAGAGCTCAGCAAGGGCCAAAGGGCTGTGCATGTGCCTACAAGGTACCTAAGAGGACAGGGAGGTGACCTGGGAACACTTCTCAGTAAACATGGCCCTGATTACTGGGTGAAAAGTGTTGGACTCTTGACTGGTTATGTAAACTCTGTCTCCACCTGCTGACTCCTGGCCTGCTGAGTGGGGGTCTGAAAAGGTTCAGAAGACCAAGTCTAGCTCCTGAGGTCCCCTTTGAAGTCACCTAGCACATGGTCAGGCTGCCTGAGAAAGGCCTCAGCCAAGCCTTCCCTTCACTTCCCAGAAATGGACTTCCACTTGCCCTTCAGGAAACACCCACAGGGCCCTCCACAGCTTTCACTTGACTTTGCACAGAAGAAATTCAACTGGAGCCTGTTTCCTAAGTGGCTCTGGGCCATACACTTTTCCCTCATAATTTGTATCACATGCAAAGGTGTCATTATCTCCATTTTATGGGTGAGGACACTAAAGGTGAAAGAGGTTAATAACTTCCTTCAAGTGATAGGGCCAGGGAGTAGAAGGGATGGGATTTGAACCCAGGTCTTTTAAAGCAGAAGGCAGGCTCCGGGAACTGTGTGCTCATGACATATCTTTAGATGCAGATGGCAAGCAGAGAAGGGAAAGTTAAAGGGGCTAAATTCCTGAATCTTCCAGGCTATGTAGGGAACCGGCCTGGAACAATCACATCATCCTCTCTTTCTCTCTCAAACCTTCCGTGGCTCCCCATTACCTTTAGAATAAAGCACAACATTAACATGGCCTGCAAAGCTCTCCTGTAGGATGGGGCCTGCCTACCTTTCTAGCCCTGCCCTTGCCTCTCACAGATCCTGGGCTCCTACATTGTCTCAGCTTAGACTTTCCTCTCCACCAACTCCCCTCCCTCCTGGCTGACTTTTACCCATTGGTCAGGCTTGGGTTTACATACCACTTCCTCAGCAAAGCCTGCCCTGACCCCACACACCAGGTCAGGCCTCCCTGTGTTCCCACCACTTCCTCAACTCCTCTTGACCCTCAGGTATATCACATTTCTCAACCCTTGGGCCACATCTATGTGCCCACCACCACAGCCTCAGTCCCAGAGCAGATTGTGTGATAAACACCCATGAGTGAAAAATGAATGAATGAAGTGAAGTGCTTGGCTTGGCAGATCCTGGAAGGCTGGGGAGGAGACAGACACAGGGTGAGGGTGGTAAGGCTGCTGGGCTGACCTGCAGGTTGTATTAATGACAGTACTCTAAGGGGAGGGTCAGTGTTCAGAGCTGGGAACACAGGCTGAAGTTTGAACTTTGTCTTGTCTGTGATCTGGAGTCCTGGGCTGAAGGCATGCTGGAGGCAAGGTCCCAGTTGAAGAAAGTAAGGCTGGCCTCAAAGCTGCAGGGGAAGACAGGTAGCTCTGGGGAAAGCCACCCACAGGTCTCTGGACACAATGAAAATGGGGTAAACACACTCTTATGCCTCGGAATCTGGCCTGATTTTGCACAGTGTTGGTCAGGCATTGGGCCTTGGCCGTCACGCACTCCCTAATCAAATCTGCTGAACAACTCCAGGAGGCAGGAACTGCTATGGGCCCCACTGGACAGATGGGGAAACTGAGGCTCAGAGAGGTAGAGTGACCTGCCCCAAGTCACACAGGGACTCTCCATCGCTGCCTTAATTAAACTCTGTATTGCAGCTCACGCGGGGTGGGGGAATCTAAACTATCTTGGCTTTCACTGTTTAATAAGGTAGTCATTAGCCACGGGTGGCTATTTAAAAATTTTATTTAAATTAAATGGAGTTTAAAATTCAGTTTCTTTCTTTTTTTTGTATTTTTTAAATTAAAGTATAGTCAGTTTTCAATGTTGTGTCAATTTCTGATGTACAGCACAGTGTTTCAGTAATACATGAATATATTCATTTTCATATTCTTTTTCACTGTAAGCTACTACAAGATATCAAATATACTTCCCTGTGCTATACAGTGTAAACTTGTTTATTTTATATATATCAGTCAGTATCTGCAAATCTCAAACTCCCAATTTATCTCTTCCCACCCCTGAAAATTCAGTTTCTCAGTCACACTGGCCATATTTTAAAGTGCTCAGTAGCCACATGTGGCTGGTGGTTACCATATGGAAAAGTGCAGAGATGGAAAATTTCCATCATTGCAGAAAGTTATATTAATAGTGCTTGCCTAGACCATGGAGGTGGACAGGTCCACAGAGACCACTGAATTCAACGCTCTTATTGAGCAGATAGAGAAAGAGGGGTCAGGGACTGGTTGAAAGTCACACAGTGAATTGGTGACAGAGGTGGAATTCAAAACCTGGGCTCCTGGCTTCCAATCCAGTGCTCTCTCCACTGAAATAGGTTGACTCCTATCTCTTACCTGGGACTTAGTAAGAGCTTCTGTGAGGCAAAAAGACATCATAAACAAAGTCCAAAGACACGTGACTAAGTGGAAGGCATAATTTAACATATACAGCAGAGGTTGATATCTACAATATGTAATAAGCTACTACAAATAAATAACAAAAAGATGACTACTCCAATTTAAAGATGGGACAAAGGATACAGCCAGGTAATTTACAGAAATTCAAATTGCCAAAAAAATATGAAAAGATGCTAGTGAAAGAAGCGCAAGCATGGTAGTAGAGGGTTTCTTTGTTTTGTTGTGTCTTGTTTTTTTCAAACAAATTGGTAAAGGTAGAGAAAGGATGGGGATGGGCACTGTCTTACACTGCTGGTGGGACTATAAATGGGTCCAACCTTTTTGGAAGGCAGTTTGGCAGCATCTCTCAACAGCAAATATGTAAATACCCTTTGACTCAGTAATCCTTGGGCCGGAACCCAGGGCTGCCTGACTCCAGTTCTTGTGTTCTGAACCATGACTACTCCCTGTGAGTGATGGTCAGGCTTCGGTTGGAAAGGGCAGAGTTTGCTGATCAACGGGGAGACTTGTGGACTTGGCCGTGGGAGGTTTAAGCAGGACAGATCACTGTGGGTGAGTTCTTTGGAGCCTTTATCGTCTTGTGTGACTGGCTCAGATATTAGCAAGGAGCCCGGCACAAATCGATATGCCCTTGGTCAGCTGCTGAGGTGGCTTGGCTGCCATTCCAGTTCCGCAAATAATTGGAGCCCAGTCACCGGTGAATCAGCACCAACCGCCCTTGGCAAGCAGTGCTGGGAAGGCGGCTTGGCGTGGCACACTGTGCTGGGTGTCAGGTGACTCAGAGAGCAGACCAGCTGGGTAGCTACTCTCAGGGTGATGTGGGCAAGTGACATGTTCCACCGCTACCTCAGTTTCCCCTTTCTTTCTTCCTTTCCTTTTCTCCTCCTTTCTTTCCTTTTTTCCTCTTGCCCTCCCTTCCCATGAGTGGCAAGTATGCACCAGTTATTGTGACAGAAGGCAGAGCCCTCACTTTCTCTGCACACAGATGCCTGGTAACTTGGGGGCACAGAGCAGGGAGTAAGCACTGTGCCTGATGCGGAGGCGGGGGTGTTGGGATGGGAAAGGATGACTGAGCTGAAGCTTGAAACTTAGTATGTGCCACCAGGTGGGCAGAAGGACAAGGCCAGAACCTTTGGCCAGGGCTGTAGGGGTCCGAGGGAGGCAGGCAGGGAGAGGCTAAGCAGTTGCTTCCAGAGGGACCTGAATGCCTGGCTAAGAACTTTTGATTTGATTTCCTCTAGAGAGTGATCGAGAAGCACGGAAGGCCTTTTGTTTGTACTAGCCTTATAATTATAAATTATTAAATTATAAAATAAATCTATTATATTACAAAAACCAAACAATATCCCAGAATGTTCATTAAAATAAAGTGAAAACTTTCCTCCAAACCCTCTCCTCAGTCGGAAGCCTTTGGTAACAATTTAGCATCTCCTTCAAGATTCTTTTCTATGCAAACATAAATAGATCCATTTTTCTTGACAATAATAAAGCTCACCCTTTATATCCTGTTCTGTGACTTGCCGTGCCACGTAAGATAGACATCTCCTATCTTGGTACACAGATCTCCAGCATCCTTCTCATCAGCAACACCACAACTCATTGATAAACGCTTCCCTTCATTCCACAAATATGTATTTATTGAACTCTTATTGTGTACCAGGCATTGCCCCAGCTGCCGAGGATGGAGCGAAGGGGAAAACACAGTCCTTTCCCTCAAGGCCTCCATCTTCCTACTGCCAGACATCAGGCTACTTCCAGTATTTTCCTATAATATGCAGTGATGCAGGCAGGGCCATCTTGTGCATGTAATTTTGTACACATATGAGTATTACTATTGGGTAATTTACTTTAAATGGACCTGTGTGCACTGAATTTTGATAGTTATTGGCAACACTGAGGTGTTTTAAAGCAGGAGGTGACATGGTTAAATCTACAGTCATCCACCAATCCACCCATGCATTTATCCATCCATGCATACACGCGCGCGCACACACACACACATCATGCACACATGAATCCATCTATGCATCCATCCTCTATCATTGTCAGGCCATGAACTGGATGTGGGGACACCGTGGATGAGGTGTCAGACCCTGAGAAGCTCACGCTGCAATGACAGAGAAGAAAACAGCATCACAAGAGTTAGTCCAGGGCCAGATAAAGGTAAGGATTGCCTAAGGCCATCCCATTTTCTCCAGCCAGGATTCTGTTCTATGTGCTGCAGTCCCACTCAGTCTCTCCATTCCCCTCTACTCCTTCCTCCCTCCTATTCCAGTGCTTATGCTCACTTACTTCCTGCCTTGGAGAACCTAGTGGTATTCAGTCAAATTCAAAATCCTAAGAATATTAAAAAAGCTCTAAGTGAGAAAGTATTATCACTGCTCAACAGGTGTTCCCTCTCTCTTCCCACTGTTTTGGCTCCACCCTGGTCTGAGCCACCAGTTTCCCGCTGGAATGGCTATAATTGCCTCCTCATTGTCTGCCTGCTGACAGTCAATGCATTCTTCATACATCAACCAGAAGGAACTTTCAATAAGGTATTTTGGACCTTGTCACGAACCTGCTTACATCCTTCAATGGTGTCATTTTGGGCTTAGAATAAAATCTAAACTCCTAGGCCCATAAGGCCTAGTGAGGGGGCTCCTGCCTGACCCCATGCCTCTCTCTTCTCTCTCTACTCACTCCCCTCCAAGCACACAGAGTCCCGGAAACATGCCAGCTCCTGCCTCTGCCCCTAGAGCTTCCTGTGTTTGTGGCCCCCTTGTTATGTAGGTCTGAGCTGAGATAAAGCCTTACAGAGGTCTTCCTTGATCTCCCCATCTAAATCGGGAACCTCAATCTGATTATCTTCTCTCACATTCCCCTGGGTTTCATTCTCCAGACCAATGCCTGAATTATCTTGTTAGATACTGGTTTCCTTATATGTCTAGTCAGGGCTTCAGGGAAGTCTGTGCTTAGGAATTTGGGGCCTGGAGAAGTGAGGAAGTGCTGGCCTGGAGCCCCCTGCTGACCACTCACTCAGATCCCCAAGTCCCTCCAGGCCAGAGCCTTTTGCAGGCACAGCCTCTCAAAGTCCTCACAACATTCTGGAAAGGTTGATATTCTTATTCCCATTTTACAGGTGAAGAAACTGTGGCTCAGAGATGGGCAAGTTTAGGGCGTATCCTTCAAGATTCCTTCCTATGCATGCAAAACTACACCCAAAGTTCATGTGACACTGGTGGTTAGTGTTGTGTCAGCCAGATTTCAGACCCAGTTCTGTTGCCTCCAGGGCAAGAGGTCCCGGCCAGACCATACTGAACCCCATGTCTATTTGGAGCTCCTGAGCTTCAGTATCCTGGACCAAGGTCATCCTGGCAATACACAGCCGAGCCAGGCTTCTAACTAAGGCTTGTCTCATCCCAAATGTGGCATCTTATCCTGGAACCTAGCTCTTTCCCTTCCCCAGGACTCATCTAGGAAATGAGGGAAGGGAAACTTCCTGGGTTCTCAGCCCAGAGGCTGTAGAGAGAGAAATACCCAACCTGAGCTAAGTCTGACAGCCAGGCCCACCCACCCTGCTTCCTGTTGGAGAGGCCTGGGGTTACTCACGGTCACAGCTGAGAAGCCACCTAGGCCTTGGAACATCCTTGGCCGGCTCCCTCCTTTGAAATCCCCTCCTGGAGTCAGGGAGCCACAGGCTCTTTCCCTGTGGAGCAGGCCCAGCCAGGATTAGTGAGGAGAATCATGGCCCCCCCTCCCCAACAGGGTGAGCAACCCAGCTTAGCACTCGAGAGCCTGTACTCAGGGTCAAGACCCTAGTCAAGTAATTTGAACTCCCTAGGCTTCAACGTCCCTGGCTGGAAATGGGGATACATAATAGTGTTAGGAACTGCTATTAGCAGTTTTCTCCTATCTGGGTAACTATGTCTTTGAAATGATGGGACAAACTGGAGAGAAGCTCAGGTTGCCACCCATTTTATGGCTGGGAAGCATGAAGAAATCAGAAATCTGAGTCCTCAGATAAGTGTCCCAACCTAACTCATCCCCAAGTCCGTTTGACTATTTCTCAAATGCTATTCAGACCCGTTTTCCCCCAGTGCTGCGGTTCATCTCTTGTCTGGATTACCACAATAAGCTGCTCACCCCTATTTTCCATCTTCTCTCTTCCACACTACCTATAGTCAGAGCAAGCTTCTTATAAGAAAAAGCAAATCTGTCTGGGTCACTCCTGCTCAAAATGTGTGGGTGGCTCCCCTCCTTACTCTGGTCTACAAGTTTCTACAAGATCCAGCCTCTACAGGCCTTCCAGCCCCACCTCTTGCCCCCTGACTTTCTCCAACAGCCACAATGCAGCAGCATGGAGGTACTCACAGCTTTCTGTGGGCATTGCATTCTCTGGCTGCCCAGGCCTCTTGAAGCTCCCTCTGCCTGGACCCTGCCTAACTCAGGGTATGCATCCTGCAGTAGCTTAGATAACTTCGTGAGAGAAGCCTTCTCTGAGTCCACCTCTACCTTGACCCCCTGCCTCCACCAAGCTCCTCCAGTTCCCTGTTATGTTCCCTATTACTAGTTCTCATCCACTATATTTGTCTCTGTCTGTGCCCCTGTCTGCTTCTCCACCTGGTCTTGAGCTTGGAGAGGCTGGAGAGGGCAGGCCCACCGGGCTCACTCCTAACTCCGAGCCTGGTTCAGGGCAGACTGCCCCCAAACATTTGAATGAACTAAAATATGTCAATGGTCTGGGAACTAAAAGGCTCCAGAAGTGGTCTCTGCGCAGGACAGTTAATACAAACAGGGAGACCAACCAAATTAGGTAAGAGGCTAACTGACAACAAAAGACTTAGCAGTTTGGGACGGGAGAAGCTGATTTTATCACAGGTTGCATGATGAACTGCTTCTATTCACCCCCTTGGCTAAGCCTTTGCAGACACTTTCCTCCTCAGTGTTGAGAACTAGAGATTCGGAGCCAAAGACCTGCTCAGTCTAGTTCCGGCCACCTCTTTGAGTGTGTTTTCTGAAAAATAAGACTCGCTACCTTCCGGGGTAGTCAAAGAATTCAAGTCTAGGAGGTGGAGGGCCACTTCAGCCATAGTGCTCATATTGGTTCTTTCTCTTCATTGTTCCTCCTTTTTCTTCTGCTCGCACCCTCCTCCTTGCTTGCCTGCCTGCCGCGGATTCCCGCCCCGCGACCTCCCACTGCCTTCTCGGGGCCCCTCTTCTTTTCCCTCTGCTCCGCCCCTACTGAGAAGGCGGGCCTAAGCAGCCGGTGCACCAATCAGAGAGCCCCGAACAGTCTCGGCTCCGGCGAGTCCCGCCCCACGCCGCCGCCCACCAATCCTGCCCCGCGCCCGCTACACCGGGCAGCCCAATCGTGGGCGGGCTGGGCC